TCAATGGTAGCAAAAAGTGGAAAATCATGCTCTTTTGTGGTTACTCACTTGAGACTAGCTTGCTGTGCTTGAAATCTTTACTGAAACTAATAGATGAGCTACACTCACGCAGAGTTCAAATTGGTATTTAATAAATCAGGAAGTAAAAAGAATTCATTTCTTCAGATTATGACAGCTTATGACAGCCACTCCAAAATTGGAGTAAAATTTCCATTTTGATTTTGTTAAATACTGACAAAAGAGCAGCACCACAGGTACACAATCATACTTCTAAAGAATTTCTCATTTGAATGGTCACCATATATGATTTTGCCCGTATTCTCCAGAAAAAATCAAAAGTTTTTAGATCTCCATAACGGATCCAGCAGCCTTTAGCAAAGATAACTTCTCGAGCATGGTTTGGAGCAGATTAAAGTATACAGTTTAAATCAAGGCAACGTTTACAACTCAACGCTGATATTTAAACTATTCAAGATTTACTACCGCCAGATTTTTTCACCTCTTTCCAAGAAAGTCCCGATGTCAATGGTCAAATGAGAAACTTTATTCATTGACCGTACGATGGAATGAATACCTTGTTACTTCAGCAGACCTTTAGCCTGAGTTCAGTCGTAACAGTTTCCATCGTAACACTTACACATATGAATTCGAACTGAATTGTAACCCGGTTTTTTTTATATGAAGTTATCTCAATATTAAAAGATTATTATTATTATTAACCGTCTGCCATCAAATATATTAATTGAACACTCTTGCATGGCATGCGCATTGTGAAAACAGGCGCTCAACAGGCTCCAAGGTCACAACAACCATAAATACGGGCTTACAAGTGGTTTTGTGAGTTTTACTTCTTTTGGAGCAAAACATCGAGAATTGAAGATCTTTCTTCAACTAAACTTTTAGTGAAATCGTGGTCCCAAAATAAGCGACTTAGGCCCAAGTAACTATACGTTCTACCTTTTTTCTGAAAGCCAAGAAATTTCTGGGACTCCGAAATGAGGACGTAGTGTTTGAAAAAAACTCAAACATTTGTTAGTAGTTTCAAGTGAAATGGAATCGCATATCGAAAATCTATTTCAAGTCTACTAAGAATGCTCAAACCATCAAGCAAGTAAGAATTATGCAACGTAAAAGTTATTAAAAGAAGTAAATTGTACTATTCAGGCGGTAGTGAACAAAAACCGAAGTTCAATATTTAAGGACTAACAATATAAACAATATAAAAAAGATGTTTTGTTACTTTGTAGTGAAAGGATTCTTACATTAGCGATTTGCTAAGACACTTTAGTTTAACATCGGGGGAGAAATTGGTAAGCAGCTTCGATTAAAAAGAGATACTTATTTGTTTTATAGTTATACACTTTACAACGTGACAATAATAATACACAAAACAACTGTACTGCACTTGGTATGAGATTTGATAAAGCCAAAGAAAGTTTGCGCGCGGTCCATCACGTTTCATTGACCGTTTTGCTCTTTAAGTAATGCCTCAAGGGAAATTTTCCACTCAGCGCCGGTGACATTTAAGCATTTGAGGGAGCGTTAAGAGTGAAATAAGAAAGCAGAATAATTAAGGTGTACACATTCGTAATTTATGAGGCCATTATATCGATTCGAGAGGGACTAAATAATTAAGTTGACTCTAATGGCCCGGACTGAAAGGAAATAAATTTAGCTCTTTGTTTACAATTGGTAGCACCTGCATTAGCGGCAAAATCAAAGATTCGTTTAAGAACAAGCGAAGTTATTATAACGTTTTATCGTTTGGCCAGAATGGGTGCACTTGCTTGTAATTTAAAGGAGTACAAATAACTTAATTGTATCCAGGCTACTTTTCATACCGAGCTTTTTTCCCAAGGAAGTTCTCTTCTTATTACGCTGGGTTTTTGATTTGAATGAAAGGCAGGGATTTTCAGTTGATTAATGGCCGGAATAAAGGAGTTCGGCGTTTTATAGCACCAAACGCCCTCAAAGGGAATTCAAAGAACAGAATGACCCTGTTTATCAAGGAAGTGCGTGTCAAAGACTTCGTAGATTTCCGGCGACAACAAAATACGCTTGGGATAAATAAAGCTCCCTTGAGTTCATTTACACACTGTAGCAAACAGAGCGATACTGAGATTATATCTTATCTCATCTTCTACTAAACCAAGTTACCAGGAGAAATTTTTAATTTCAGTTGAAAGGTGAGTGAACAATGTTACTGATATCTAGCTTCGGAAGATAAACTACTCAATTTTAGCTTAGCCAGGAAAAAGTTTGTTTGTTAAGAAAAATTAAATGCATCGAAAAGTTATATTGAAGAATTTCTTCGTTTTTTAAGGAGAAAGAGTTTTATCAGTAGAATAAACTCTTGGTTTATTTCAATAAACGTTTCTACTATTCATCCATGTCTGGTTGCAATAAATCATATCGCAAAGGAACAGCTGCTAAACATAGTTCACGCACAGATCAAATACTAGAGGTGGAAAAAGTTATTTAAAATACTTTTCGGTATAGGAAACGAATGTTACTTCCTTGCGGTGAAACAAGTCAGGTGACTTGGTTCCGACTAGAAAAGCAGCGCGTTCAAATTTCTAAAAACATTCTAAAATTCCTAAAAACTCGCGGAAACTGAAAAAGAACATTGATTAAGCATGAATGAGTTGAAACGCCTCAGACATCAGTAACGGCTTTTTTTTGGTGGTTGTGCTTATGTTTCAGCGTCCCTGTGTTGCAAGTTTAAACTGCGGATAAAGTAGAAAAATCAGTCAACAAGAAAAAAAAGAGACAAGCACCAATAACTTAAATCCATGAGTTTAGTTCAATTTGAAGCTGCCAAGCTTTCGTTGCTAGGCCATCTTCGAATCAAATAAAAACAAATTGGAAATAGACTTCAATCAATTAAACAATGCAAGTAGCTCGGCCACGCTGATTGTATGGAAAATAAAGTAAAGTACATTTCTTCCTAGGATCCCGGATCCATATTGGGTAGAGTATTCACGCTCAAATCGAATGATTTCATTGAATTAGAGGAAGTCTATTTTTAAGTGAATTTTGATCCCGAAGGACGGTTATCGTTATTACAAGTGATACTGGTGAAGTAGCATAATTTATTCCAACTGTGTTTCAGTGGCTAGGGGATTAGTTAAGGTTAGGGGTTAAACAAGGAAAACTCTGGGGATGAAACAACAACAACAAACAACCATTTTATTTTGCCAACTTTAAAAACGTTTACAAGGAACAGCATAAATTAAACAAGATAAGGCCAAAAAAGTACTCAGAATAGCAAAAAACTAAACGAGCTGAGTAGTTACAATAATTTTAAAAATTACATTTTATAGGGCTCTGACACACGAAAGATTAAGAGGAAGAATCTCTTAAATTTAGGAGAAAAAAATAGTAATGAAACCCCTTTTTGATGTTTTCATTTGCGCTGCTTTTGACGCACTGTTTCAGCTGACATTTTCATTGCATTGTTTGGAGACTGCAAACTGGGATAACTATTGTAATGGCCACTAACTTCGCTCAGCAGTGGCGAGAATTTAGCAGGACTCCCTCTCGTCTCAATCAGGTTTTATCCGATCGACTCCTCGGTTTTGGTTTATGCCTCTGTTTAAAACTGAAATAATTATAATAGTTTATACTTCAACTAATGCTCCATTCACACCAGAACTTGTTCTTGTTTATTAAAGCACAGTTTAAAATTGTTTTCCTCGTAAAACGGCTGCTTATTGACTTAACTGGAACATGTTGAAATTCACTGATTTGAATCCTGTGTAAAAGCTGATGTTCCTGCCCAGTTTTCTGTGTTTCCTTTTTTAAAACCTGGTTTTATTAAACATGTTTCTTTGGTGTGAATGAGGCATACCATATTTCCTCAAATAATAGCCGCCCTCGATTTAATCGCCCCCCTTTGGCGATGAATCTTTTTTTAAAAAAAAATAGCCTCTCTCCAGTAATCTCACCCACACAACGGCCCTGTCGCCATATCTTCTCTTTCTTTTAAGTCAAAAACTGAATAGTTTCAAAAACACAGGTTTTGTTACAGTTTTATGCAATGCTAATGTTCATGTATTCACTTCTTCCATTATTCCTTTGATATTGACATTCGGAAAATTAATCAAGGAACCAAATTTCATTGGAACACTTAAAAAGCCCCTGTTCAGTTTATTCGATTTGCATTATTATTTTTTTTAATTTCATGGGATAATAAAACAAAATATTCAGCGCAAGACTTCCACTAAGCAGTATACAAAATAATCGCCTTCCTCGGCGAACAATCGCCCAATTTTGGTGCGAAAAAATAATAATCGCCACCGACTATTATTCGAGGAAATACGATAAGTTCGTTAGATGAAAGTTGCAAGGATGTTGGCTCACGTTCCAAGCGCTGGTAGGCATCTCTATTTCACCACTTTCAATCTTCAGCTCTGACATCTTTCTAGAATCAAAGCAGGCCAACGGGGCTGTATACAAAAATATCGGCAACCCAATCATAGGCTAAGGAGCTAGTTGAACGGAAATAGGCGCAAATATGGCCTTTTTATAACACTAGCCCCAGCACAGTTTGTCAGGAAGTTACTCAAACAGTGGTCACAGCTTGAAGACCTCTCTCAAAAACGTGACTTTATCTTTGAGAACAACTGGAAACTTGACAAGCCGAGCACAAGAGATTAACTACCAAAAACACCTTTACTGATCGATGCTAACTTGATATGACCAATTCGTGGGCCCTAATTAAACTGCTTAATAATGCTCAGGTCGATAACACAACAGAGACAGCCGCGACACACACAAACGTTAGTCAGTCACTCACAAGCCCAACAAAGAATCATTCCACAGGATCTTTCTTGTTTTGACAATCCGCGGATAGTTGCACACCTTTGGCTTTAATTGTGCAAAAATTGCAGAATAACCTTATATAACATTTAAAAAAAATAATCAAATAATTTGGGAATGTATATTAAACTGTTAATCTAAAGTAACTTCTTTTCACACCACAGAAAAGAGACCAAATCATGACGCCGCTCTCTGGTTCTGGACTCAGCACATTTCTCCTGTGTTTAATGCTTTGTTTGCTCGAAACAGGTAACATTTTAAAGCAATTATAATTTATTTCGTTCATGAAAGCATTGCTTAAGCAGTGATAAAAAAAAACAGGAACCCACACCGAATGTTTCTACATACAGCAAAAAAACACCGTGAGTGGGAACTCGTGCCTTTTTTCTAAGTTAGCCTAAGAAGGTTCTTTTAATATATAAATGGGAATTAGCACAAATTTAGGCTATTTAGGTTCTTATAAATAGGTTTTTATTTTCAGTAGAAAAAAACACATTGTGTAGCTAAGAGTATTTAATGGTATGATTCATCTGGATTGATTTTTAACGTTGGCGGCATTTACATTGCAGTTGGAATGGTAAGGCACCCATGTCTCCAATAAGGATCCTGAATGTACAGACATTTTTAAAGATTTTAGAAATAAGAACCTATTTCAAATTTTAGGCTTAACAGGTTCTTGTTTAGAAGGGGCTTAACAGGAAAATTTTAGCCTAAACGCAAAATTCTTAGTCGCGGGTTTTAACTGTACGTCAAAAGTACCTCAAATGGTTGTTAATACCCTTATTTAGAAGCCGGCGGTTTGGTTAATTTAGAGCTGCCCTAACTTTTTTTTCTCGAATTTTTTAGGTTGCTTTTCGTCTTGTCCAAAACTGTTACCTACCCTGATCATGGGTCCTGTCGAAATTTCAAGGACACGTTCATTTAAAAATTCTACGGAACGTTTTGTCTTTTTTAATGCCATTCAAAATTTTGAGGAGACCTCTTTTTTAGAATAATCGCAAATCTTGGTGTTAACGCGTAAAAAACACAAGCTCCGAAAACGGCGTAGGTAAGTTAGAAGTAAAACTCCGAAGATTTTAGACGATTGGAACGGCTACGCCAGAAATATTAACCTCTTTCGAGCTTTAGACATTTCCAGGCAATATTTACTCTTTTGAACAATTATTTTAGAGATCAAACGTCCCTGAAAAAAAAATAAGGACTAGAACAAAGTTCTTCCACCAGTTTAGGATGCACAGAAAATACAGAAAAGAAACACCTTATCTTTTTTTTCTGACAGAAACTCTTTGGTACGTACATCTCACGTATAGGGCCTCTTACACCGAGTGTTGAATTTTTAAGCTTTATTATAAATTACCAGGCTACACTGATCTTTGATCATCTTCCTCGCTTACAAGCTCTCAGCTAATCAGCAATTATTAGACGAGGCTCCTTGATACATTAAAAACACTCAAACGAATGTCTTTGTCAAATAAAATTCATCCATATTAGATTGAACATAGTGAATTTCGATGTAAAGAAAATGTGAAAAGAGACTGAAAAATTGGTTGACGGGTTTTTGCCATCTGAGCCCAAGCAAAGAAAACATCTCAGTCAAATTTTGTCTTGCCAAGCTGAGCAGTAAATAAGGCCATATCATCAGAAAGTATTGCTGATTCAGGAGTCATAAAATAATAAGTGACAATAAAAATAAAGGGTAAAGACAATAATAGAAAAGACAGAGAAAAAGTCTTTTTTGCCAAGGGGTCGTCAAAATGTTTCGAAAAAATACAATTTGAAATTTGGCTGATAGAAATTGATATTACGCTTTCTGTTGGACTGAATAAATAGAAATGAGGCAACCCCATGCTAGGTTAGTTTGAAAACAAAAAGATATATATATATATTTTTTTTTTTTTTACTTTAATTCAATTCTAAGTTTAAGGAAGAAATTAGGTAATACTTTGTCATTTTAACCGAAATACTTACTTTTCTCTTCGAAAATGTTCATCTACCCCTCCCCAAGGTCAACATTTGCTTAAAGTGAGAAGTGAATATTAATGTTGGCTTAGGGGAGGGGTAGGTGGGCAGTTTCCCAGAATCCTAACTTGATCCGTCCCTTGACATGATTGCTTTTAGCGTATCCAAAGGATTTGTCTCAGGAACAAGTTGCCATGATAGATGCCTTCGAGGCTGCTAACCCTCACCCTGTACCCAACCCGGTACCTGCAAAAGAAGCCACTGTAGCCTGCAGTAACGAGGAAGAATGCAGCAGAAATCCTTATAGGGTGGGGCGCAGTGAGATATCGACAATGCTCCTTAGCTGCAAGGAGGATGATTCGCCTGCTATTTGCCGCGTCTTTCTCGGGAGGAAAAGACGACTTGATAAACATGAACTATCGATTGAAAGACGAGCCCCTCAACCACGATGTCCCCATTATAACCCAGCTTGTCGTTTCAACGGCCGTCTGAAGGAGATATTCAAGAGGACTGACAGTATAAAAGATCCGGAATTGGCAGATGATACCGACAGTGAAGACGCGGAGTGCGACCCCTCACAACTCGACTGCCGTACAAGTCGCAAACGTTCGGTAAGTTGGCATCTTGTTTATTCCCCATGCATGAAAGAAAGAGGGTCCCATTTGGATACGAGATTTGCCTCATTTAAAGGCCGGGACTAGGGATTTTAAAGCAAACTGGGGCAAAATTCGTTTAAGATTAAGGGCAGGCACGGGATGCGAGATGCTAAAATATCCATCAGCCTGATGGGATTGAAGAACCCTGTGGGGACCTTCTAGAATCACTTGAATGTACGGTAAAAGGTAAACCGGAATTGAGTATGTATAATTTCTTTCACGTGACCAAGCTTTCCCTTTACTTATAATTTGCTATCCATTATATGAACAAATCAGGTTCATCCAGAATTAACTTGGACTGTTTACACCTGCTAAGCTTGATCGTTTCCTACGTTAAGAAAATTTTCCACCTGAATCTGACCTTTACAGTTTGTCGCCTCATATAAGGGAATCCAAGACAGTCTTGGATTCTGGATTCCACGCCGTGGATTCCGGATTTCAGGTACTGGATTCCAGTATTTGTCAGTAATTGGATTCTGGATTCTAATCGTTCGAGCGATTCCGGATTCCTTGAGTGGTATTCGGGATTCCCAACCCAGGATTCCAGATTCCACATTCAAAACTTTTTCGGATTCCGGGTTCCACAAGCGAAAAAATGAGGGGAAGTTTTCCGTAAAAATAGCTCCAAATCTCTCTACTGAGCTAATATTTCTGAAGGATCCCGCCTATAAGGACCGCCTAGGGTATAATAATGTGACTAGAGGAATGGGGACAGAAAACTTGCGTAAGGGGTTTAACTTTTGTCTCAGGAGGATTAGTTAGTTTTTCGACAAAAAATCTGTGCTGGGAATACATGAGAAATAAACATTACTGAGATAGGGAAAAACTAAATATTGGGATGGACTTCAAAGATAATAGAGACGCTACGAACCACGTTTACGGCGAAAATGGTGGTTTCTCGTTTGTCGTTTACCGTCAGATTGTGCTCATGCAAGCTTTGTGCAAGACGCAGATCTGGAAAAGGAACTCAGCACTCCTTGCAATCCAGCCAAGGCCATCACTATTTTTCATGGGCAACATGAAATACAACGGTATTACACTTGGCCGGCGTTTTTTATTTTACCAAAAACATTCCGAAACATCACTGGAAAGGTCTGTCGGGTGAATAACCAGACTGAACATGTTCCATTTGACACAAGTTCTATCTGATTTCTTTTCTCGCCACAATAATGATTCATGATGGCGGCACAGATATCGCCATGAATAGCTTTGCCTGACTGATAAATCGTTGTGAAAACCCGTAAATAGGCCAAGCATTTCTACTGAAACGTTTTCAATATATTTTCAATATTCCCGACTTATTATTCCCGGAAATTTTCCAGTGGAAAGGCCAAAAATGAGTGTTCAATTTCTTCTGTGCCGTTTGTCATAAACGTAGTGCTTCTCCCTCGTAAATGATGTCGAATATGAATACGATCATGCTCAACCTACGTATTCTTAAGAAAAACTGAGACGCGCCATTACTGATAGAAGAGTACACAAACTAATTTGGGACCGAGTCCTTTTGTTAATAAAATCAAAAACTGCTGTAAGACTTGAAGAAGTGTTAGAGCCACTTTGATATCAAATAATGTTACTTCAAATCTGCTTTATTGACTCTAATGTTTAATAATACAGACGGGACTCGTTATGATTTTGTCGACAGATTTCTAAACGCTTTTGTACGGAGCCGGAAGACTTGAATGATCCCATGTGCAAATGGGTGCATGCGCAGACAGAGTAGTAGGACATCACATACCATCATTTTAGGACAGAGAAGGTAATAGAAGACTATTCCAACAAAAATGACCTCTGAGTAAAGGAGAAATTATTCCACAACAATGAATGTATTCTACGGGGACAATATGGAAGGTCTAAGGACAACACTACGTTACGTGGTCATTGTCAAAAGGGTAATCTCATCATTGAGGTCGCATACACAAACGGAGGGAAAACGTGCCCCGTGTCTCTGTGAAATAAGTTCATTTGCTACAACAAATCTGAAACAACTTATAAAAACAGAATGTAAGTGGATTAAAACCCCAAATATATCTCATTATATGAATCCCATTCATAAAAAACGTTTTGAAGAAAGCCCAAAAACTATAAATCTTCATCTAATAGTTGCTAATAACATTCTACAATCTTTGAAATATGATTTGGCCCGAAAACTGTCAATTCTTGGGAAAAATAAAATCAGTGTAACTACATTGAAAAATAAAACCAGAATAGATATATTCGCTTAAAATGGAGTATTACTTTGACCACATGATCCGACCAAAAGAGACAAAAGACTTCGGCTAAGAAGTTTGAGTGCGACGAGGACTCTTCAGAGAAAGAGGGAGGTCTGGCTGATTGGCGGAAAAATAAAAACTGATAAGGGGAGGCCCATCGTCAAAGGCTTCAATGACACCCCAGTAATGCACGCTATGCTGGCTATGTTTTAACACAGCAAGCAAAAATTGTATTGCGGCTAGGAGCGATCAAAACGTTGACTTCCCTCTGATCGATTTATGTTAAAGTTCATAATTAAATTTTTATTTTAAAGCTTACCCAAGTTTGTAAATTCTAATTACAAAGCAGGATCTTTATAAGTTACACTTGTAAAAGGCTAGCTTGTTATTTGCTCTTTTCTTTCAGAAGATTTAACAACCTCTGGATAGTTCTATGATCTCTTTGGAGTTTGCCTATACAAGAAGCAACGCGACCAGTTATTCAAAAAAATATAACTTTTGACAACTCCTAGAATATGTAAAAACTTAATAATAAAGCTTTAAACCTAACTTATGAAATAAAACCCGTTCATGTGGACCTTGACATCAACGTTTTCAGTCCTTCTAGATTATTTATCTGTCTCCCTTTTTCTTGAGAATTCCTGAAAAAAATCATATCGCCGGAATGTAGCGATTACTTTGAACTATCAAAAGTACCGCCGGGCAAAACTGGGCTGAATTAGCACCCTACTCATGACTATTCAGAGGCACCCAAAGACGTCTTCCCCCGGAATACATTGAAAACTCTTTTTAGACTATTCAGAGTACTTTTAGATATATAGAAATGCATTCTAAGCGGCGCTGTATAATTTGTATCTGTTCGGTCATACTAGGGGAATTTGAGTCCTATCGAAATTACAAGGGCTTCAGTATTATTTTCCCGAAAATTCTAGATGCAATTTAACTTATCACGAAAGTGAGGATTTTTCCTATTCCCCTCTCCATCACATAGCCTGACATGGGGAGTAAAATGTGAGAATTTAAACTTCAGAAGATCGTAAAGGTGGATATTAAGCTTCGAAAATTGTTCTTGAATTGAACGGTCAATTAGAAATTTCAAGCCGTTCTCAAGCAATAGAAAATTCTATGCAATATTTGCTTTTTCGAACAGATAATTCACAGAAAACATTCGTTGGGTGCCCCTACGTATTCCGTAGATGTTCCAGGCTCGGTCAATCCTGAACTTTGACGTCATCGAGAAAGAATAGAGAGCTTTAGCATCGACGACGGCAACGGCAGCGAAAACGTCAGTTTTATAATGAATTCCCGTTTTTGCAATCTTTGTCGCGTTTATTCCAATTTGCTGAAAATGCAAAGAATAGGCGAATTTCCCTGGAGTTGATTTCTTGAGGACCGCAGTCAAGTTTAGAGAGAGAAAAAGAGATTCGTCGTCGCTTGTTTACGTCCTCCACAAAACTTGCAATTAGGCATTTTCACGTCGTTGTCGTGCAAGGACGGTAAAGAAATGTACAAAAAAGCATGATGCACGTGCAAAGTTGTTGTTTTGCCAATCTAAACCTTTTGCTTTTTTGACGTCCTGGTTGCCGTCGCCGTCATCGTTGCTAAAGCTCCCTATTACCTTTTCTGAGACTTCGCGCTCACAAGTGGGCAAGGAAGAACGCCCAGGGACTAGGCTACTGAGTTTGTTTGTTTGTTTGTTTTTTGCTTGTTTTGGATTGTTTTTCTTATTAAAAGCAACTGAAGTGGCTGTCGCGAAACGCGAGGGGAAAGTGGGACGCGATAAGCGAGAGCGTCATCCCCACCCACTGTACACGCGCGAGTGGCAGTCCTTTTCTTTCGCGACTAAGAAAAAAGTGAGGCTGTTTTGAAACTTCGTCGACATCATGTCCCGAGAGTAATCACCCTCTTGAAAGAAACGATTAACGTTTTCAGTTCACAGGGATTCCTTCTCAGACTTTGCCCTTGAACGATTCGATATAAGTGAACCGCCAAAATGAAACAAAGAATGAAGTGGTGTTCTGTAAACTATCAAGATGTTTTGGATCAATAGTTTACAGAACACCACCTCAATCTTTGTTTCATTTTTGCCGCTCTTCCAAATTTAGACCCCTTTAAAATGAAGAAAAGTTGCCCAGGAAAAGAGGGTTACCCGCTCTCCGTCGAGTCAACTTCAGAGAGCGCTTATATGAGAAAAACGTGATACCTCTCCCCCAGCTGAGGGCTAACAACAACCTCGCGCATTGTCTCGCTCAATCACGTTGATCCGGCTGGGCGGCTAAGACAGTGTCCCTACCATCGAAAAAGGATGACTCGGATAAGGGGTTCACCATTCCAGCCAAGCAAACTATTTGTTCCTCGTGTTAACGGTTCGCTAAGTTTTGTAAGGACATGTAGGAAATTTTGACAAAAGTAGGCGAGCTCGGATAGGGGAGTGAATTTTCTACACGGGACAAGTTTTCTCCATATAACAGGGGCCCTAATCTTGAAGCTGGACACAAATGTTCACTAATGGCGTTAGTTCGATTCTCGGTCTGACATTTATATTTGAGTTTGCGTTTGTTGTTACTCTCGGAAGCAAGATTTTGCTCTGCACTACTGGTCATCCTTCCCAAAAAAAGAAAAGAAAACATGTTCTACTTCGCGATCGGTTTTATTTTAAAAAAATCTGCATAGATAAGTTAATTAAAATTTAAAGCTCTTATATAGATACTATATTTTAGTAGTTGTTGGAAAAGAAAAAAGAAAATATTCTTCATACAACAATAAAATTCATGTCCCAAAGGATACTCCATTTTCTCATGACAATTGCAGGAAAGTGAGAAATGAGCAGCGACTTCGAAAAACAGGAAAAAAATTAAATTCTGTATATTAAGGGTTTCGGGTTAACAAAGAAAGTCTTTAATAAATACTTCTGGCTTTGAAACATTAAGTTCTCTCACAAATACCTTATTTTTTTAGATTCTTCCCTGGATACCAGAGATATTTTTGTATTTTTTTGTTCTTGTTTTTCTTTTGTATTTTTCTCCAGACCATATTCCTAACATCTTCATAATCAAAAATACACCTCTTTGCATGATAATTTCCACGCATTCAGAAACATTCAAATGATAGGCTCTTGACGTCAAACATCCTGTTTATCGGTTATTTCATAATCTTGGAATCTCTCTACTAAGATTCAGTTAAAACTTGAAGAAATCCCAGTACCTAACCACAGAAGTTGTCTATAAATGACAAATGCTCCTCAGTTGCCTTACCACATTAAACTTGAAAAACTTGTTACCGAGCTAGCTCCTTTCATTTAGTAACCAGATTAACTCATTCTTGGCACTGTGGAATGAAAGACGTTGTCAACAGCATTCCCTCTACTATAATATTGTTCTTCGATCTAACAAGGGAGAAGGAAGAAATGGCGATGCTAGTCTCAAAGCAACGTAATTAGTTCGCGTGTTGGTTTTGGGCGTCAAGAAGTTTCTTGACTCGATTGAATTATCGAAAGTTCTCTGTTGCGAAGGCAGTTTTTCCACGCCTTCTTGTCTGCAGTCTTCAAAGTCAGGTTTCTCCGTTACCGCAGATGCTGTTTCTATTCCGCTCGAGCAATTGTCTTCATTACCTTCGATTTCATCAAAGTTCACTTGGGTTTCAGCGTCTACCATCGTTGCTGAAGGGAAACAAAAACAAGGGTTAAACATGCGCACTTCGTGAGAGAAATCGCTGGTATTAGTAAGCTCTTTAGTATAATTTTTAATTCAAGCCGACGTTCCCTGAGACACCGATGAAAACAGTGTGCTAGCTTCCATTGCATGCGTTTTCTTCGCGTGCGCGAATGTTTTGCAGAACAGTTATATTTACAGATATTACTGCGCTTTTCACAAACATGCGAACTCTGAAGTTCAAAAGCCGCCTTCGCAATTGCGTTTTTCGCTTCCGTCAATCATAATTACGATCACAAGCAACGAACCTTGAAACACAGAAACACACAAAACGGATCGAAATTCACCAATCAGAAATCACAAACCTTGACGTTTTGAACCCGTTAAAGTAAAGTTTTGTTTCCTAAGAGGTCCGTTAAGATGATTGACGGCAGCGAAAAACGCAATCGTCAGTTGGCTTTTGAACTCCAGAATTCTCATGTTTGTGAAAAGCGCAGTAAGACATTCCGGCGAAAAGCCCATTTTGCTTTGATCATTGCTTCTCGCGCAGAGTTTCTTAAAAAGTACAATGTAGTCTGTTGGGTAAGTCTAAGAGATTATATGCGCTTCAAGGCTTGTGTAGAGGTACTTAATTTATAACCTGCTTATCAGTCAAGGGATAATAACGACTTACCTCTTCTTTTGCAAACGAAAATCGAGTCAAAAAACACTACAACGGACAGAAATCCCAATACAGCAGCCGCACCAGGTACAATACTTTGCACTTGCCGAACATATTCAGCACAAGTGAGGCATTTAACACTGCAAAGCGAAAACTCCATACATCACTTTCTGATCGATTGGCTCAGGTAGACAAAAGCTAACAATGAAGCAAGCTCTTTCCCAGGTTCTACCCGTCCTCACGGACGGGTAGGAGAGAATCCTGGGAACGGGGTTGACAATAAAGTTAAGAGGGCTGTGTCACGGCTCAGTCTTGTTCATTTTATGGGCTCAAGAACTTAACTTAAACGAAGAAACTACTTGTAAACGACAAAATCACAACTTCTTGACAAACAAATATACTTCCTTTGAGCATTATATCAAACGTTACAAACAACAAAAACAAACTTTGAAAAAAAAAAATGACCCTTAAGCAAACCCGTTTTCAAAAACCCACAATTTCAATTCCGTCTTAAATTAATCTCCTTCAAGTTTGTTCATCCGTGCCTACTTTTGTATTTGCTATTTTGTTAATACCTTCTTTTAATATTTTGACCTTTTATTTTATGTTTCGCTTAGGCCCAGTTCAGACGTCGTGCTTCTGCCGTGCCGAACTAAATTCAGGAATTAAGTTCGACAAAAGCACGGCAGAAGCACGGCATCTGAATCAAACTTTTGAATTAAGTTCGGCAAGCAATTAAGTTTGACAAGCGCTGCCGTGCTACACGGCTCTGGCACGGCAGCGATTCAAACGTCGTGCTTCTGCCGCGCTAAAAAAAAATCCATTAATTATATTAATACATTTTGGCGAGATTGCGTTCCCAGGGGGAGTTAGGAGGAGAATTGTTAAGAGGCATCAGTAAATCCTGAATTTGGTTCGACTCTGGCACGACGTCTGAATCAAAGTTGTTTTCCTGCCCTGCTACAGTCGAACCGAATTACAATTAAGTTCCGCACGGCAGAAGCACGACGTCTGAACTGGGCCTTCATCTGGTAGCGGAACCTACCGCTAGGATTTTGATAAAATTTGTGACACAGCTCCTTTAACCAAACAAGACAAATTCACACAAGAAATAAGCCAAAAAAGAAATTTTCCAAATACTTCATGAATCCAAGAAAGCTCACCTCTGTTCGTCCTCTGGATTCAAATCTTGGATGATTTTAAAAATGGCTCCACTGAAGACTTTATCAAAGAAACCAATAAAACCATACACGAATGCACTTGAACTCTGAAAAGAAAGAAAAATTGCAGAATGTGCAGCATGAACTGGTTGTCACTCATGAAAAATCATTTACTTATCAGTGTGGCACTCCCCACATGTACTGTATTAGGAAGCCGTCAAATATACAAAATTTCATAGAAGTATAGAGTATTTCCACTCACGTGGCCAACATCTATGCAAATTTATCGAAACAAAGGAAAGCGTTTACATAGCGTCTACATGAGAAAAGAGTTCAGCTCCCACATGCAGGATTTGTTTCGGAACACAATAGGGCCATCGTTTTATTCTTTTGGATCACCACTATGGCCGCCGTGACGTCAAGTGAAAACGCTTTATATTTAGACTGTTTACCTTATTGTGTCCAATGAGCTGCGCGATCAACGAAAATGACGTAACCAACATCACAGAGCCTCCGCTGCCCATAAGTATAGAAGTCGCGTACACAGCTTGTCTGCCACTAACATTTTGAACAAAGAACCAGAAACTAGCACCGATTGCCATAACAGCACCAAGACAGAATGTGATCTGAAAAGCGTCATAAATTAATCATAAATTATAAAGGTCAAGAGAATGACGAATATAGTCACCCAATATAAAAGTCTTGATTATCAAGCAAATTCTCTTTATTGGTGCTATCAGAAACTAATTGGGAAAAGAGTGTGGAAATTATGTTGATAAAGGGCTATTATTCGTGTTAACCAACCTTGCTTCCAAAGCGTTTGTTCAAAGGCTTGACAACAGTGCTCGCTAAAACTCCTGTTACCAACACGACCAAAGGAAAATATGCAATAGATTCCTGTGAATTGAGAAAAACACCAAGCTTAGGGCCTCTTCCGATAAGCCTGGACGGCGGGTTCTTCCAACCGGGATCTCCGTAAGCGGGCTGGGAAATCAGTTTGCCTTAAGAACATGGGATGCAAGTGGGATGAATTCTTCGCAACAGCGCATGCCCGGATGGATTTGTCTGCTATGATAGCTATGATAGGCGCCAAGGTAACTTTCTGTTAACCATGTTTGCTTTGTTTCTCGAATTTCGAGGCAGAAGTCGTTCTCAGGATCTTGGGCCTTTTCTCATCATGGAAACGGGGCTGACAATTCTTATAAAATTCGTCGCGGTAACCGGGCCAGCCCGGTCAAACGGGCTAATGTGAAGAGGCCCTTAGCGACTTTTCCTTAAATTTATCTGGGAACATTTTAAAGCCGTCGAGACGTATACTTCATCATTGGCGTAACGTTAAAGTTTTGACAGCCATGTTTTCAAAATTCTTGCTTTCATAACTTGCAGCTTGCGGGTTTTAAACAAAATAAATACTTTTAATTAATTAAAAATGGTTTATCCAAGATGGCGGATGGTAATTTGCTATAATAAATGACGTCAACATGACATCGCTACTATTATTTAAGATAATTTATCTGTTAGCCAAATTCCTGCTTTTATCAGACAAATTACTATTTAATGCTACTTTGAGGGGAATTTGAATTTTGCCAATAAATTCAATAATATAACGACATAATGACATAGGAAAAGCGAATAACTTCTATAGTCCTACCTTCTCAAATCGCATCGTCTCTGTTAAGTAGAGAGGTAAATATGACTGCGACACGTTTACATACAAACGAGTACAAATGTAGACAACGCCAACCTGGAATCACGAAAACAAACGTTCATTCAAACTTTAGCCTGTTTTTTGGCAACAAAAAGTCGTGAGCCACAAAAAAATAAATAGGTAATTGTAGGAACTGTCCTAAAAAAAGGGTAAAATGAAGCCGAGCAAGGTAAAAAAAAATTATCTCTAATCATGTGTTTACTAGCCATGTTTAAGGATGGGTTAGAAATGGGTCTTCTCATAGTTTGAAGTTACCTGAAAGGGGTAAGTTATTGACTGTTTTCTAAGCATTAGGCCACGATTCAATGCTTCAATGCTTCTTCCTTTACAAGGATGTCATAGTGCCGGGAAGAATGATGATGCCATGACGTTAAACGTCTACCGAGCTCAGTGAAGTTGTCGAGAAATGTCAAGTCTTCATTCGTGCTAAGTGGTTCTTTAGGTCGAAGCTTAACTCAGTTTTTATTTAATAGGAACTAGAACGACTAGGTATATTTCTATTACCCCGTGGACAGGATGCCAGCCCATCGCATGGCCACCCCATGCATTAACTTCACTGGTACCCAATTACACCCTTAGGTGGAGTGTCAAGCACTGTGAGAGTAAAATGTCTTGCCCAAGAACACAACCGACAATGAACCCGACAGGGTCTGAACCCGTACCTCTCGATACGACGTCCAAACCACTAACCACTGTACCACTGCACCTCCATGAGGTAATGTGTAATTAGCAGTAAAATATCTTGAATAATGAATACGAGTTGGACCTCCCTAGATTGCGAGCCTCTTACCTCTTTTTAACGTTACAGGAAATGTCTAACAAACGTAACATAAAGGCGGGCACCGCGCCGGCGGATCCTCGACGAACGAACTTGAAGCATTAACCGCATTGTTAGGCGAACGTGTGCTCGCTGGGATAACTCGTCTTACCCCAGTTGGTCCCATTTTGAATAACCACAATGCTTTGTGAAAGTGTCGAACTTTTCACGACTAAGTTCATGAAAAGTTCGATGTCTGGCTCAGTTCTATCCATCTGATTCAGACGGATAGAACGTCTTAAGATCGTCGTCGGGACAAACGTCGATCTCCACACGCGACGAACTAAACTAATAAATTAAAAATTTTTATGATAAAATGCATATTTAGCCTTGTTCGGCCTTGTTCAGTTGATTGGTTCGACGCGTCCTAAAGTTCGACGTCTAACCCAACAGACGATCTAAACTTAATTTAGGTGAATGAATGAATGAACAACTTTATTAACGTGTCAAAATATTCTAGCTGGCTACAAGTAGCCTACAAATCGGAGACACTAATGTCACAGTGCTTGATACCAATTTAGGCCAACCCAAATAGGACTATTTGGCTCGTCGCGTGAAAAGTTCGACGTTTGGCCTAGCCCTAGGCCTAGGAAAGCCATTCATCAAGCGAAATACCACACTTCCGGTTGCTCAGTATTTATGCCAAATGGAATGTCAGCGTTCTCTTTACATGCTTTAATTTGCTTACAGCTTCAAAAAGTGTAATTAATTACAAACCTTATACAAATCAGGACTACAGAGCCATTGTTTTTTGGTTTTCTCGCCGTTATGAAGAGGACCTCTGTCAATAATTTCATGAGAAATTTGCTGAGTTCTTTCACAATCAAGACTCGTCTGAGACTGAGACTCCGGCGCTGCAGCCAGGCCACCATAACTAACAATCTCCTTTTCCTCATTCTCACGTATCGTCATGACAACAGCAGGCGATGCTCCACTTCTCCTATTGATCGAGGGGGGCTGGTAAACGACCCTTGTCAGTAAGGCTACAGGAAAATCAACAATAATGTTTTCTACTTAGTTCTCTGCCTTTCAACCAATGCATCTTTTACGCAACTACCTCACNCGTGAAAAGTTCGACGTTTGGCCTAGCCCTAGGCCTAGGAAAGCCATTCATCAAGCGAAATACCACACTTCCGGTTGCTCAGTATTTATGCCAAATGGAATGTCAGCGTTCTCTTTACATGCTTTAATTTGCTTACAGCTTCAAAAAGTGTAATTAATTACAAACCTTATACAAATCAGGACTACAGAGCCATTGTTTTTTGGTTTTCTCGCCGTTATGAAGAGGACCTCTGTCAATAATTTCATGAGAAATTTGCTGAGTTCTTTCACAATCAAGACTCGTCTGAGACTGAGACTCCGGCGCTGCAGCCAGGCCACCATAACTAACAATCTCCTTTTCCTCATTCTCACGTATCGTCATGACAACAGCAGGCGATGCTCCACTTCTCCTATTGATCGAGGGGGGCTGGTAAACGACCCTTGTCAGTAAGGCTACAGGAAAATCAACAATAATGTTTTCTACTTAGTTCTCTGCCTTTCAACCAATGCATCTTTTACGCAACTACCTCACGAAAAAACATTTTATTATGGTTTCTGAAGGCATCTGCGAGATCAAGACACTTGGCACAAAATGGACTCCTAAATATGAGGACTGTCCAATACAGCCAAAATTTGACAAAGGAAGTTTATCGTTTTCTCTCTTTTTGAAGACTTCTTTTCCCTAAATCTTACTGAAACTAATGAAGCGCTAGCGCCATTATAAAAACCGGCCTAGTACCTAAAATTATTCAAAAAACACGGGAGCAAACACACGTCTATATTTCGGTGTCAAAGTCCACGGTGACACAGCAATTTTCCGTTGGGATCTAGGAAAAGAATGCTTCATCGTGAATCAAATTTGCGGAAAAGATTTAATTAAAACAATTTCAACTGTAGAAGATTTGCGAGTAAACCTTGTTAATTCAAAAGCGAAGTGTTTACCTTTTCGTTGGCTGTTATTCCGACCAAATTTGCTGTTTTCGTGTTTTCCATTTTTTCGTTCCTCAAGCCAGCGAAGTAAAGCAGCAGAAGGAGGTTCTTTGATGCCAACATGGAAAATAACGTTAAACACTGTGCCCGTGCCAACAACTATGAAACCAAGATACTGAAAAAGAAAAGGAAAAATATCATTTCATGCAGGCATGGTAAGGTTAGCTGCGAAGCTGAGCTTGAAGCACTCTTTAATACTTAGTTAACGCCAAAGACCTTCAGTCAGTAGTTTCGAAGACGAGATTTAACTTTAAGTTTTTTCGCTTACATGTACATTCTCAAAAAAATAGATACCCTGGAAAGCTTTATTGTAATTTTTTTCACCGGAAAAGTTTGCATTGATATTTTTACTGATGGAGGCTTAAGCCTTCTCCCGATCCCAAAATGATAATACTTCTAACAGTTTATAACTTGTTTCCTCTTTTACGACATTCTCGCTAAAACTCACAGTATAGTGATGACGGCTCCGCTGTCACGTTTTTCCGCCCAAATGACGCTGGTTCACGCGCTTGTATTAGAATCTAAAGGTCTCTATTGTGCATTCGTGCTACTCGTCGCACTCTCGACCCTCGCGAGTCCTTTCAGAGATTAGAGGACGTGATAATATGAACGTTCGCTAGTTAAAGATGGGTCGGATCAGAACTGAATAATTGGATGATACAATTCTAGAGCTCTGATTGGCTTAGCCATCATGGTATATAAGCCATTTTACCATGCTCTGTAAATATGGTAACTGTACGCGTTTGCTCAAAATTAAAAACAAGCTGAAAATCGGTTGTTTTTACAAATAAAGTCAGGAAGAATTCTCGATATTTTGTGGGTGTTTTTAATAAAACTGATTATTCCACAACGCTTGCTGGGTATGAGATAATTATAGCCAACTCATATCCAACGCGCACTCGTGGAATAATAGTTAATTATCCTCTCCCCTCTTGGTTTGGCGGGGAAAGCTTAGGCTGAACAGTGAGGTTTCAGAATGACCGTAGCCTGCGAAAATATAGCCGTTTGTCCGCGCCTCTCGCCGGTGAAATATCCCTAGCGAAGAGAAGCGAGGAGAGACACCTGTTTTCGCAGGGTAAAGTGACCAAGAAATTGTGAAAGTAACTTACCATAAATTGCTTCCACATTGTAGACGAAATATTCGCTTCCGAGCTTCTTCCAAGCAGAATCCATGTCACGGCAAAAACAAAAATTCCGCAGACGAAACGCAAAGCTGATCTGTTAACAAATGAGGTAGGAAAACGTATTTTCAGTTATTAAGTGCAGAATAGAACATGACCTTTTTTCTAAACAAGGAAAACCGCTCAATAAAGCCCTCCTCCTTCCGCATGGGAACTGGTTATGTCGAAAACATATTTGGTTGAACTATCCTTTAGTTTGCTCTCTGCATTAGTCAGTGAAAAGATTCTACTTTGACCAGTTCTTGGAGCAAACTTTTCCATAGGAGAAAATAACCTCTACAACAGGCGTCATTTAGGGAGCTGAGGGAAATTTTCTGCAAGATAGGGAGCGTTTACTAAACATCTACACTTCATTTGGGCTATTCAGGCAAGGGGAATTAAAAGGTATATACACGTCACAAGGGTATTGCTGTTTTAGGCCAATTCTGTGCCGAAGTCATTAAGCCTTTAAGTCCCAATAGTGACCAAGACCAATTTTCTCTTAAGGATATCCATACATTGTCAAGAGATTTGGTTGTTCCACTTCTCCTATTGATCGAGGGGGGCTGGTAAACGACCCTTGTCAGTAAGGCTACAGGAAAATCAACAATAATGTTTTCTACTTAGTTCTCTGCCTTTCAACCAATGCATCTTTTACGCAACTACCTCACACGAAAAAACATTTTATTATGGTTTCTGAAGGCATCTGCGAGATCAAGACACTTGGCACAAAATGGACTCCTAAATATGAGGACTGTCCAATACAGCCAAAATTTGACAAAAGGAAGTTTATCGTTTTCTCTCTTTTTGAAGACTTCTTTTCCCTAAATCTTACTAAAACTAATGAAGCGCTGGGTCCATTAATAAAAACCGGCCTAGTACCTAAGATTATTCAAAAAACACGGGAGCAAACACTTGTCTATATTTCGGTGTCAAAGTCCGCGGTGATACAGCAATTTTCCGTTGGGATCTCGGAAAGAATGCTTCATGGTGAATCAAATTTGCGGAAAAGATTTTATTAAAACAATTTCAACTGCTGTAGAAGACTTTCGAGTAAACCTTGTTAATTCAAAAGCGAAGAGTTTACCTTTTCTTTGGCTGTTATTCCGACCAAATTTGCTGTTTTTGTGTTTTCCATTTTTTCGTTCCTCAAGCCAGCGAAGTAAAGCATCAGAAGGAGGTTCTTTGATGCCAACATGGAAAATGACGTTAAATACTGTGCCCGTGCCAACAACTATGAAACCAAGATACTAAAAAAGAAACGGAAAATATCATTTCATGCAGGCATGGTAAGGTTAGCTGCGAAATAAGCTGAGCCTGGAGCACTCTTTAATACTTAGTTAATGCCAGAGACCTTCAGTCAGTACTTTCGAGGACGAGATTTAACTTAAAGTTTTTTCGCTTAAGCTTTATTGTAATTTTTTTCACCGAAAAAGTTTGCACTGATATTTTAATTGAAGAAGGCTTAAGCCTTTCCCCGAAGCCAAAATGATAATACTTCTAACAGGTTATAACTTGTTTCCTCTTTTACGACATTCTCGCTAAAATCCACAGTATAATGACGACGGCTCCTCTATCACGTTTTTCCGCCAAAATGACGCTAGTTCACGCGCTTGTTTTAGAATCTAAAGGTCTCTATTGGGCATTCGTGATACTCGTCGCACTCTCGACCCTCGCGAGTCCTTCAGAGATTAGAGGACGTGATAACATGAACGTTCGCTAGTTTAAGATGGGTCGGATCAGAACTGAATAATTGGATGATACAATTCTAGAGCTCTGATTGGCTTAGCCATGATGGTATATAAGCCGTTTTACCGTGCTCTCTAAATATGATAACTGTAGGCGTCTGCTCAAAATTAAAAACAAGCTGAAAATCGGTTGTTTTTACAAATAAAGTCAGGAAGAATTGTCGATATTTTGTGGGTGTTTTTAATAAAACATTATTCCACAACGCCTGTTGGGTATGAGATAATTATAGCCAATTCATATCCAACGCGCACTCGTGGAATAATAGTTAATTATCCTCTTCCCTCTTGGTCTGGCGGGAAAAGGTTAGGCTGAACAGTGAGGTTTCAGAATGACCATAGCCTGCGAAAATAGCCGTTTCTCCGCGCCTCTCGCCGGTGAAATGTCCCTAGCGAAGGGAAGCGAGGAGAGACACCTGTTTTCGCAGGGTAGAGTGACCAAGAAATTGTGAAAGTAACTTACCATAAATTGCTTCCACATTGTAGACGAAATATTCGCTTCCGAGCTTCTTCCCAGCAGAATCCATGTCACGGCAAAAACAAAAATTCCGCAGACGAAACGCAAAGCTGATCTGTTGACAAATGAGGTAGGAAAACGTATTTTCAGTTATTAAGTGCAGAATAGAACATGACCTTTTTTCTAAACAAGGAAAACCGCTCAATAAAGCCCTCCTCGTTCCGCATGGGAACTGGTTATGTCGAGAACATATTTGGTTGAACTATCCTTTAGTTTGCTCTCTGCATTAGTCAGTGAAAAGATTCTACTTTGACCAGTTCTTGGAGCAAACTTTTTCATAGGAGAAAAATAACCTCCACAACAGGCGTCATTTAGGGAGCTGAGGGAAATTTTCTGCAAGATAGGGAGCGTTTACTAAACATCTACATTTCATTTGGGCTATTCAGGCAAGGGGAATTAAAAGGTCTATACACGTCACAAGGGTATTGCTGTTTTAGGCCAATTCTGTGCCGAAGTCATTAAGCCTTTAAGTCCCAATAGTGACCAAGACCAATTTTCTCTTAAGGATATCCATACATTGTCAAGAGATTTGGTTGTGAGAATTAATAAAATGAACATCTACTGCTTTGCTTTGATCTTTTATCAAATTCTCTCAGCTCATTCTTTAAGGAAATTTATTATATAAACTGCAGTGTTTTACAAGGATTTCTACCACCGAGAAATGTGGTATCTGAACACACGTAAAAATACGATATTTTTACATGTGAAGATACCGATAATTTCACTGACATCAGGTTTGTCTCTTAAATTGTAATTAAATTCGTTGGTGTATCATCGAAACATCTTCGGGTCTTCCTTGAAAGTGCTCGGCAATCTTCGGAAATCTTCGGACATCTTCGGAAATTCTCGGAAAATGTTCGGGAACGTTCGTCTGGTCTTCGGGACAATTTGAAAAATCTTCGGAAATCTTCGGAGGGTGGTCGGAAATCTTCGGAAAATCATCAAAAACGCCGTCATCAGTATGTTTATATAATAAAAAGAATATTACACGTTAGCTCGAAGATATGAATTTTATGTTCTCGTGGCAAGAGCAATATCTCACTCGTTCGCTGCGCTCACTCGTGAGATATTGTTCTTGCCACTCGAACATAAAATTCATATCTTCTCGCCACCGTGTAATATTCTCTATATATAAAGATCAGTTTGGATAATTTGGATGTGGATATAATGGGACTTAAAGGGTTAATTAGTGCGTTGACCCAAAGAAAAAATGCTCCTGAAGAAGTTATCAAACAAGTTCATAAAGGGGTATTTTGTAGGCATGGCATAAAACTTGAGAAAGTTGGGCTTCGATCTATGTCCCTCCTCGCCATCAGTAGAAACAGTTTCAATGGTGCTTAAATTAAGTGTTAAAAACCAAAACTAGACTATTATTTTTTAGAATTCAATCGATGCGAAGAAGCATTTTTATACAGTAAAACCTCTATTAAGCGGACCCCCAATTAAGTTGACACCATCTATTAAGCGGACACTAAGCCGGGTCCCGAAATTAACGTCTTATATTTCCCTTTATAACGAACCCCTATTCAGCGGACACCTCTATTAAGCGGACGGGGACACTAAAATGAGTTGTATTATTAAGCGGACACCGGACTGAATTGACAATAGCGATATTGGATTACGTACATGAAATACGTACTTTAGTCAATTAATAAAGATAAATCAATACATTTAGCTGTCAAAAGTTCACCTAAAAGTCTTGCACAAAGTACAGCACAACCTCCTTAGCTTCCTTAACAACATGGAACTTTATCACAGTACAGAGTAACCGTTGAATGCTAATCATTAACTGCAAACATTGCGCAATTTTTACAACCTCCATTAAGCGGACACTTGGGAAGGTCCCAAAGGTGTCCGCTTGATAGAGGTTTCACTGTATTAGCTTTTCAAAAAAAACGCAAATAGTGTCATACAGCCCCTTTAACTACCGCTTTTCTAAGATTGATTTTTGTGCTATCGGGCCAGAGTGAAAAAATAAATAAATAAATACGCTGGGGCAACCGCCTTTCTTTATGATAAAACGATGTTAATGTATAATCGATTAAATAAAATTCATGCTAAACGCTTTCTTTCGCTTTCATGTACTTTACCCTAATATGTTGTTTACAAACTTTTTAACTCCCAGTGTCCGATATACCGCAGAGGACATGATATACGTATGATATGCAGTTCCAACTTTTAGAATTGTGCATGAGATCCGACCATTCAAATGAAAGCTGCTAAAAAGTACTTTCAACTTTAATTTCATCTTTCTTATGTTTTCATTCTTGTACTATTTACAGGTGATCTTGTAGAAATAACACAATATGATACAACTCTTAAGAGGAGATGAACTGTATGGAATATAATCAGAAATGAAAACAAACAACTGCAGCAAATGAGTGTACATTGATCATAGTAGCCATTGGCTTTCAAACCACGGGTCACCACCATGAGGCTTCAAACCTCAAAAATACGCAGTGTGTTACTACAGGGTGTATTAGATTTTCATCAGTTTTCAGTAAATCAATTTTTGGATCTTTCTCATATTTCGTTGTTGGTTACAACAAAGGGCTAAAGCTGCTAAAGGTTAATCCTTCAATTTGCACGTGAAACCGGATTTTTTCGTGTCGAGCTGCGTTATGGGCTTGTTTTGGGGTCGGTTTTTGGGAGACTGAAACATCTAAACTCAACCCCCGCCCCCTTAAAAAGCCCCATAACGCAATTCGACACTCAGGGGCATCCCCCACAAGTAATCCGATTACTGAATCACTACGAAATTCCGGATTTGACGTTACTCCACATATTTTCTCGCGCGTGTGAGGGTCTTGGCAAAGCTGACTCATGCATGGTGGTCCACAACTTCCGTAAAGGTCACAAGAAATGCACACCCAAAACTACAACTGAGAGAACGATACGCAGATTGATAGGCTAAAGTTCTGATCATTAGAGTGCTGCGCTTCCAGCCATGATAATTTCTTTCACTTACTTCAGTCGAAAATAATCCCCAACATAAAATCAACAGTTTTTCATCAGATATATCAAATTCGTATACATGCAGTCCTACACGTCCAAAATGCTGTCCGAATCGCGTGACGGATCCGTGTCCGTTCTGCCCTTGCAAGATAGTTAATCTCCCATGGAGAGTTTTCTAAGCTCTCACGTAGCCCGGATGTCCAAAGTGTAACAACTGATCCTAATACATGGTTTCTCTGACTACTGTAAGTTTCAGACTCAAAAACCCGAATTGTCTCTTTTCTTTTACGCCTTAATGTACATTTTTTCCAAAACTTTTTTTTTTTTCTCAGGTGTCTTAGGAATCATGTATAAGGGTTCAAGAGACCAAGTTCACCGAGGAAATTCAAGGGCGTCCGTCCAAGGAAATTTTGCATCGTATGCCTATCGAAACGGAAACTACCCAATGTAATTTTACCCCCCAGACTGGTATTTTGGAAACGAATTGTAGGGAAGAAGTCACGATTGCTTTTGGTTTCACGTACTTTGATCACCAAGTTTCCTGTAAACAAAACCTTTTCACTCCTAAAAGTTGGTCAAAGCAAAAATTCCCCAAAAAAGTCCAGAGAAAATTAATACCAATTTTAAAAACATTTACGCAAAAGAGGCTTAAATTGATTGGTAACACTATAGAATATCCAGTCCACAAACGTTAGAGTGGTAAATTATCCCGCCATAGATTGAGAGTCTAGGGATAAGAGGGGAAACAACGAACTGACAGAGAATAGGAAGACTGAATCATCCCCTGAATTAGTCATTGGATGATTTCAATAAACGGGAATATTTACGAATGATTGGGAGACCCTTGGGACTTGATTTTTTTTAATGAAATAATAGATGTATTTCTAGCCGTATGGCTAACTATCGGTCATTAATTAATTACACTGTCAGCATGGTGCACGACCGTACTACACACGACAGCGCGCGATGACTTTGACGTAACCAAGGAGTTTCGGTCGCTTTCACGTTTTAACGCAAAAAAAATATTAGCAAAATAGAAGGAGAGTTTAGAAAATGTATCCCGGTTAGGCGTCCGTCAAATTTCTTAATCACAGTGGGTTTCCTGTTTCCTTTACGTCTTTTTTAAAATAAGTATTTATTTAATTGTTTTTTTCAGTCTCTTTAGAACGAAGACTTTCAAATATAACGAACAATATATCGTAGCTTAAGGCGCGGTATAGATCAGAACCCCATCCAGACCCTGCGCTTCAAGTTCAATAAACAACATTTACAATTATTTCGAAACTGAAAAATAATGGGAAACCTAAATGACGCATTAGGACCACATAGGTACAAAATACTTCGATTTCGATCTCACTGAGTGAAAGCAATAACACGGACTTTGTTCTGCTTTGTTCTTAGTCATGGTTCGCTAGTTTTCTACACAAACTATATAGGTTATGCGGCAGTTGAAGAAAAAAACCCTTTCCTCTTATATTCTTATTTAGTTCTGTTGCCTTTGTCTTCTAAAGTAAACAGCGAGTACATGACAATAGAACGGTTTTAGCCTTAAGATCCAAACTGAAAGTGCACGTTTTTGTATTGTTTCGTAATGTTATGTTGATATTACAGAATGTCATCGAAATACACCTTTCAAAGTCAGTATGGGTTAAAAAGTCAGTGCCCGCCTGACAAAAGGGGTCGAAAGATGGGAGAAATTTTAAAACAGTAATAGATTTATCGCAAAAGTAAATTAGCTAATAAATCCAATCTACCATATTTAATTAAAACAGCACTTACCAACATTCAAATTTATTCAGCTAAATCTGTTTGAAGATAAATAAATATTGCACAACACAGCGTATTGTTTCAAACGGAAACCATTTCTTACCTTATTGCATTCAGCTCAACTTTCTCCGATTCTCTAATGGCAATCTCTGGAATCAACGAAAGATGGCTAATTTGCACGCATCCCCAGCCAAACTGAAACACCGCAGCTATGCTAATATAATAGGCCAGCTTGAGTGAGGCGCTTACTCCATCTCCAAGTAAGCGAGTGAATAACAGTGGAAAGGTTATACTGACACATATTGTGCCGATGAGATGCCAGATTTTTCTTCGTCCGTAGCGACATACTGTTTTATCGTTTAATATTGCAGTGATTGGTGTACAAATCCCATCTGTAACTTGCCCTAGCATAGCTACCAGTCCCGTATGGCTATTCGACAGGCGGGCCACTTTAGTAAGGTAAATGATCAAGTAGCTGAACCATGCATTTGCAGCGAGGTCATTCAAAATGTGTCCAACGCCGTAACAAAATTTCTGACTGACCGGCAGCTTGTTTCCTTTTGTGGTGGCAGTTTTTTCTTTACGACTAAAGCAGCGACGCAGTAGATCCATAGTCCGTGTTGACAACCAAATGCACCGTTGGAGCAAGGGCAACTGCTTATGGAAAAGCCTTGCGTCTGATAGCCTGTCTTATTTGAACGTAACTCCCGCCCGCTGAGCACGAGAAAGCGTTCTTGTGATTAGGGCACTTGTTGCGTCATAACCACCGGAAGTGACATTCGGCAGTTATCGAGTGGCGTGATCCACTTACAGTCTTTCAAAAGTTTATTCGTCCCAGGGGCTCAAATGTCATCTTAGGGGCCGACCATTTAACTCTTGAGGGGGCGGGGGGGGGGGGGTTTTTGAAAAAAATTTCCTGCAAGCGCTGGTGGGAAGAAAAAAATTGCATGCACACAAAATGTAATAGAAAAAAATTATTGCGCTGCTGTAGGACAAAAAAAAAAGGTCATGTGTTTACATATACAAAATCAGGAGCCGATTACTTAATCGGAACCTGACAAAATGTATTTATATTTACATTGTGGTCATTACAGTAATAGTTCTGATATGGAGCTGCTAACTGAAAAACACCCGATAAATATTTAGGCTTATAACTTAATTCGTTGAGTTTTGGGGAGATGATCGGCCACTCTAACTTTTGCTTCTATGCACGAAATTCTATGATGTTACCATTCAAGGTCTGAAACCTCTTTTGCAGAACTTACACATTTCTATTTAATTCTTAAGTTTTAAAAAATGAAATTTAGTTTTTTACCTTTATACCAGAACTACGTGCTTCCAGTTAATACTTTCTACTATAACGTGGACGCAGGGTACTAAATAGTTATTGAATGAGGTTTTTGTGATATCCGGAAAAATCGGCCTATAACCTTGATTATTCCGGATATCACAAAAACCTCACCCTCCGATAATAATTGTTTTATTATGCTTTGTTTTGAAGAAAGTAATGACAAACACTGTCTTCCGGAAGACAATTTGACCTTGCTCTTGGAAATCATGCGCTGCACTTAGTCTAACTCGCAGCCTACATATTAGTCAGATATAACTAGCACATAACAAACTAATCTGTAGGTCGCGCTGATTAACAAAATTAACTGTAGGCTCCTAGCCAATGAGTAGACAGGCAATGATTACAATGTGTAATAACATCACTGTGTAGTGTTATCGGGGGTGTGCAAGTCGAGACTTACTGTACTGATTAGAGCGGTTTTCACTTGACTGTCGTAAAACCAAAACCAAAGTAAATACACTAGCCAACCAAAGGTCGTAGTAAAACCAAAACCAAAACCAAAACCAATCCCTTTCGACAGTCAAGTGAAAACCGCTCTACTATATTTGCTTAAGTAATGACTCTTTCAGGATTATAGGCGAGAGGCAAGATCGATAACGTTGTTGATTTGATACCGTTTATTTTTTTGGACCCAGGACTTGTCAAACTGGTCTACCGGGTGGGTGGACTGGAACCTAGCACTCAACATGGAGGGAGGCCCAAACTGGGTCAAGAACTTTGTTGATTCGCCGATTATTGTTGACGCTGAGAGTGGATTATTCTACAAACAGGTAACGTAAAGACACCCATTTTTGTGCCAAAGAAAGAACAGTTTGTTCACAATTTATCTCGCCTCATCTAAAGGCTAGGCATGCGCAGTCAACAAACTCAAGGTACCGTAAAACGAGCCACAAAAACGTGCAACTTGCTTTGCAACATCGCTGCAAAACGAGTTGAAAACCAATGTTACGCGTTTTACTAACCACGAATCAAGCCTGTCTTGCAAAAAATTAAGTTGTTGCAAAATGTAGAGAGTAGATCTACGCTTTGAACAAAATCTCTACACATTGTGGCGCATTTTACCGGCCAGGGCAAACTTGTTTTGCAGGCTCCCGGTAGACAAGTTTTACAGCCCGCGTAATTTTATCCAATCAGAAGTCAGTATTCACACAACTAGTAACAACCAGATTTGTTGCAAGACAGGTTTAATTTGTAGGAGGTAAAACGGCACGCCCAACATCGCCATTCAACTCGTTTTACAGCAATGTTGCAAAACAAGTTGCACGTTTTTGTTGCCCGATTTACCCGGTAGCTTCAGTTCACTGATGACTTTAGAATTCAAGCAATCCCACACGGCAAACATGAAAATCAGTTATTTTTCTTAACTTAATCTTTGTAACTGGTGTTTTTATGTATGGTTGGTGCATTCTGGTGTAGTCGCGAGTGTTGTTTGGCGTGTTTAGATGGGCGTTTTTTCCATGCTCGTGTTGACGGTGTGTTGGGGGGCCGGGGGTGAGAGGGGTGTGGGGGGGGGGGGGGGGGGGGGGGTGGGGGGGGGGGGGGGGGGGGGGGGATTTTGAAAAAAATTTCCTGCAAGCGCTTGTCGGAAGAAAAAAATTGCATGCAGCACAAATGTAATAGAAAAAAATTCTTGCGCTGCTGTAAGGAAGAAAAAAAATGTTGCAAAGCTATTTCATCATTCCGGGGGGCTTTACAAAATCGCAGCCAAACTGCAAGGCATTCTCTTCTCTTGCTCCCTTTGAACTCTGGATTTGATGATGCAGCTAAAATTATTCATATGTGCAATGCATTATTAGCTTATCACAAGCAGTATTATAAATGGACGTAAATTTTTTTTTGAGGTACTCAATGTAGAAGTGGACTGAAAAAAGGCTGAGCAATAAAATAATAATAATATAAAATGAGTGTATGAGTGACTTTCCGAAAATATAGCTATACAATAATGATTGTGTATAGCTTACAACATTTTGAGGCTTTGCAGCTCCATATCAGAACTATTACTGTAATGACCACAATGTAAATATAAATACATTTTGTCAGGTTCCGATTAAGTAATCGGCTCCTGATTTTGTATATGTAAACACATGACCTTTTTTTTGAGGAAAAAAAATCCTGCAGAGAAATTAAATGAGGAGGGAAAAAAATAACCTGCAGAGCATTTAGAAGGGAAAAAAATATCCTGCCCACCAGATTGCTAGAAAAAATAATTCTTGATGACAAGAAATCCCCCCCTCAAGAGTTAATTAATGCGTGACGAACGAACCCCAAAGGACGTCTGCGGGGAGGCTAGCATAATGAAAACAATGGAAGTGCAGATTAAAGGGGGCCTATGAAATAAGAGGTTTATTTCGGTGCAGGTCTACTGTGCAGAACAGGCGCTTTTTGAGCCAAGTGAGACGATCGCGGCATTTTGCGCGAAGCTCTGTTCGCGCTTAGCGCAAAATGCCACGGTAGTCTGAAATGTCACGCGTCTCCACCCCTGACATTTCAGACTTTTCTCAACCTGCGTCCCAGGGCCTTTCTGCTGATTCCGTGGATTAAACATGGCGGACAAATCGACGGAAGAAGGGACGACAATCGACGACGACGAATTTTGCATCCCTAAACCTTCATGACTCATATTTGACAAATTATTCGGCTCTGTAGTGCAAGGATGGATAGTGAACGGTAACTATTGCAGGTTATAGGAACAGAAAAATTTGTATCTCAAGTTGAGATGTTGATCACCCGGACACATAGTCTGAAAAGCTAGCCCCCTATTTTCGAGTCATTTAGCGCCCTTCAAATGTAATATTCCTCTTTCTTGAAGCCACAAACAAAAACAAGCACGCTTCAAATATGATATTCCTCGTTCTAAAATAGCGGGCTAAGTAACCGGGTCGAAATGACCGTAAACGGTACCCTGCAAGCAGAGGTTTACGGTTACAATGTATCTCGCCACCAAACCCAACTTCTCATCCGAACCGAACTTGTCCTTTCAATAAGTATTAAGATAATTATATTTTTCTTGGTGTCGAGGTGCTCAGATGCCAGCAGAGGCCCTTTAATCTCCCTAGATCTAGGAAGATCGAAGGGCCTCTGCTCGCAGGGTAAAGCAGACGTAAGACTTCCTGTAAATGTCTAAAGCTCAAATTACCCCCCCTGTAGCTTGGAACCACCAAAGTTTTTTCCAAATTCCCTCTAGTGTCACGTTTGACTTTGAATTGCCCTGCTCATAAGACATAGTGTTTTCCATTCAAGTGAAAGAGTAACAATTTTTAAGATGTGTAAGTCTTATCTATTTTATGCAGAACTCATGAACCCTTTATATAGCCATGTCTACACTTTTGACATGCCAGGTTTAGTAATCATCATGAACTATTTACTATAAAATAACTAGGCTCAAGTCCTCGTCACCTGCTGCTATACAGGATGAAGAGTTCTTCACTCGTGAAAGCTACAAGAAATATTCATGTCTTCCATCTTTTGTGGAGTTCCTTGACAAACATCTTAAAGCAATCAAAGATGGTGGCAGTGATATTGAAAGTAGCTATGGTAACAGTTCAATGAAAGATTTACCATTCATGTCTGAGGGGTACAATGTCCAAGGTGCTAACAGAATTGGTGCTGAGGGAGATCGATCAAATGGTGCCCCAGCTTCTGTTGGTCCTCAAATGGAGTTCCCATTTGTTTCTAAAGTCAGTATTGAAAGTCAGAAATTATTGATGGAAACTCTTCAGATGATCAAGAGCAGGGAGCTGGCCAAAGTAGATTTAGAGAAGATGCAAACTGTTCAGGTATAAACAATGATTGCTATTGAATTTTGCTAATACAGTGGAACCCGGCATTATGACCACTCTGTTTATACAACCACCTAGTTACTATGACCATAATGACCCAATAGTAAAAAACACTGTTCTTTATAATACCCTGTGAATACAACTATGCACCTTATCATTACGGCCTGGCTTTAATGGCAGAAAGGTGGTCAGATTAATAGGGTTTCACTGTACTTACAACTCTAACTACTCCAGGGTGCTTGTAAGTTATGTAGTTACATTGCAGTATAACCCTTTAAGTCCCAGTAGTGACCAACATCAATTTTCTCCTAATGATATCCATACATTGTCAAGAGATTAGGTTATGAGAATTAATAAAATGATCACTAAAGAGAAAATGCCTTGATCTTTCATCAAATTCTTTCAACACATTCTTTAAGAAGATGTAATAACATCAGTTTGGAGAATTTGTATATGGATTTTGGGGCTGAAATGGATAAGTCAATTCCAAGAGCACCCATCACCTCTCTCCCTCATCCTGATTCGTCCTTTTACCGAAAAGGAAGCAGGGTGGGGGACTTCAATATTGCAATTATGGGGA